CATTGATTAGAGAAAATTGACAATTTTTAGTGACGAAATATATTTTTTAGTGCTAAATTATTTGGTCATCATTGAATGTGTAAAGTATAGGTGACCAATGTTAGAATTTTGTCATAATCGTAATGTATTATAGTGATGATTTTTATTGACAAAAGTTTATTTTATCTCTATGAATATTTTTCGGTACCGAAATATATTTTTTATGATGAATTTTTTTGTTCATCATTAATTAAATATGCATCTATGACTAATTTTTTAGATTTATCACAATTGTGATAAGTTATAATGATGATTTCAAAATTCATCACAAATTTTTGTCATTAAAAATCATTTTTCTTGTAGTGTGTTCTTGAGACAATTCTTCGATAATTGTTGGATTTGATTATTAAATAAATATAATTCATTTAATTTGATTTTATATAAATTATTTTATAATTTAAATTATTTTATAATTTAAATTATTTTAAATTGAAAAATAATAGTTCTTAGATGATAAATAAATGGATCTCTTGATATTGAATTTATTTTCTCATTTGAAAATTTTTATTTTAACATTTAGAACAATTTGAATTATGAAACAACAAATCCTATTTTATATGTATACTTGTATTTTTAATTTTAATTTATTTTTTTAATAAATATGATATATAATAAATTTTTTTATTACGCAATGAGAAGTAATTATTTGTTATCCTTTATTCTACTACACACGTATGTCATGTGACTCGAATTCAAAATCTCTTACTTCTAACAAAAGAAGATGACCATTGAGTTTTTTAGGTAATTGGTGATATATAATATGTTAAATTAAGATCATATCAATTAATACCTTTAATTTTAGTGACTTTCTCTTAAAATGTTCTTAATTTTTATTTAAATCTAATGTTTTACCAATAATACTATACTAAATTACAAAATATTAATTATTAAATCAAGAGAGTTTCTCCCTGCAATTAAAAGAACCCTATGATTTAAAAGTTAATTATGTTTTAAGCTGCAAACTACAAAAACACCTTTATGTTTTTATTTATTTTCACTTACAAGTACCCGACAGGTCACACCCCCTAATATACATTTACCAAACTCAGAACGATCAGGAAGACGTACGGGGTAAAAATTATTATATGGAATCCAAAGTTTTAGAAACAGCTATATGCATGCGCGTCGGTGGCAAATATAAACAGGATGGACACATGCACACATGATGGATACGAGATGTTCATTACGAAGTGTGAAATTGAGCTGTAGTTAAGAGAGAGTACATGGTACAATTACCGCAGCCACCATACTGAGAAGAAGGGTCAAGCACATGACATTGTTTACGAGGGGATATGCCAAAGAGTGTGAATGAGAGGAAGGAATAGGCTGCTGGTTCTCGACATCATCTATGCACCGCACCAAAAGTCAAAAAGCAGATTTTGCATGCATATGTAGAAATTATTGGTGGTAGTACCTATATACGATGCCTGGTTTTCTATGCGTGTTGACTAACAAATCAAGTTTTGGATTCTATGGTTTGCTTTGGACTGGAAAGTGTTTGATGAAATGGTCCTCGAGAAAAAATTTATTGAAAAAGATTCCACGGATAGACTGGTTCAATATCTTAAAAATTTTTGTTTTTTCTTATATGCTATAATTAATGATTCACCCACTATGTTTTTTTTTAATAATGTTATCTCAACAATTTAATATGTTAATAATTAGGATTAATGGGTTTTATGATATGATATATATATGAATCAATATATATCTACTCAGTTAATATGAAAATGTAATATCTACTCTTTTATTCATCTCTTAATAAGGCAAAAAAGTTCCAAACAAAGAAGTTAGAATCCTCAATTCCTGTTATTTAATATCTACAGTTATTAGCATTATAATGT